AATCCGACCAAATAGTCCGGGGGATTCACAGTCCCAAGATTCAAATCCGATGGATTCTAATCCTCCTTTTTCAGTCCGTCCAATCAAACACACCCTAGTGTAATGAATTGTGATTAGTGAAAAGGATAATCAAATGGCGTCACTAGATTAATTTATAATTTTTTCATTAAAGAAGTGATATCCACGTGAACGTTTGGATGAGGCTGTCCCACGTGGGGTAAAGATGGAAGGTAGCATTTCTCTTTCTTCGTAAGTTGTCCATTGTACCCTTTATTTAACATGGACCCCACCAAGAAAGTCTGACAGAAGGGGTGGTGCTACTGTAGATATCGGCCTACCGTACTGAGGTGGTCCCCGCCGTCACGATTCCCGCAATAGATTACGATGGCGACCCCGTCCTTTAGTTATTTGTAAGGTTGGTTTATTTTTAGCAGTGGATGGAAATAATTCATAATAAAGAGATTAAGGAAAATTGTGTTTGTTTTGATAGTGAAGAGATTAGTAAAATTGTGTTTGTTTTGTTAGTGAGGGAATTGTTAATATTTTTATATAAAATAAATATAAAATAATAAAATAAATAAAATTATGATTTTTACTTAACAAAAAATACAAAAACATTAAACATTAATGTTAATTAAAAAATGCCCAACAAGTAAAAAAAAAAAAAAAAACTTTGCTTTGATACAACTTTTGTCACGACCCAAACCCGATACCCAAAGGTTTGGCGTCGCAACAAGATAAAAATAAAATAATTCTAAAATTTCTGTAATAATAGGGCAACAGATAAATTAAATAAAATAATTAGGTACCAAAAGTTTATTAAAAAGAAACAAAAATAGTCATTTGGGATTTTATTTTGTTACAAGAGTCCAATCAGAAATACAGATAATACAAAAAAAAAAAATACTGTGATTTATCTTCCATCTTGATCCCGCTAAATCTCGTCACCTAAAAGGGTAACAGCTATAAGCACATAGCAGAGTGAGAAATATCATACTTTGAGTATAGGGATACAAAATAGTCATGGATAGTTATTTAAGCCAAAACATTAACATAATTTAAGTTGAATAAATAAATCATTTAAGTGACAGAAACTGAAATACAGAAATTACGTAAATAACTATAACCATGGTACAGAACAGAACTGAACAGGGGTCACCGGAGTGACAATCAGAATAGGGGTCAATAGATCTATGACAAACCGAGGACCATAAAGTGGCCAAACAAGGGCCAATGGTTGTTTTAGTCTCCCAAGGCATGGGACTCCCGTGGTAGTATTTATAGAAAATAATTGTTTACAAGATTTTTGTCAAATACTTTTTAAAATTTAAACAAATATATCCATGGATTTCCATTTAAGCAAATAAAGTTCAGAAAATAATCCACATAATTGAAACATTAATATAACTACAAAACATAAATTATATAAAATAAATTATGGTAACTCAAAACATTCGTAAAATATAATAAGGTGACTTAAGACATATATAGAAAACATATTATGGTAATTCAAGATATAATATAACTCACTTTGTTATTATTTCCTTGCGCTCCCTCTATTTATCCGAGCCTTTCTATTTTGTTGCCTATTGCTTCTTTCTTACTTCGTTGCTTCTCCTACATCCTACGGAGTCCCTATTTATAAGCTCTCAACTTGTTTACCACGCAAGATTCCTAAGCCAAATATTGCCACGTTGCTTTGTGCTGGCCTTAAGGAGTAATGCTACTTATATTGGCCTTTGGCCCTTTTTTTTTTAACCTTATGAAGTTACCAAGGGCCAAATTAACCTTTGGCTCAAAAGTAACCTTGGCCCACAAAAATCTAACATGGTTTTGTTTTGTTTTTTTTTTCTATTTATTTATTTATTATTATTTTGTTTATAATAATAACGAATTCTATTTATTGCAATATTGAATTAAATTTAAAAATTCGGGTGTCACACTACAAGAAGTTGTTCGTCCGGAAACGAATCATGCAAAGTGAGAGGGTCACTAGTATACTCAACAAGGACTCGGGAGAGGTGATCTGCCACCACATTCTCAAACCCTTTCTTATCTCAGATCTCTAGGTCAAATTTCTGAAGTAATAAAATTCATCTAATCAATTCAGGTTTGGTCTCTTTCTTAGATAGTAAATACCGTAAAGCGGCATGATCAGTGAAAACTATGACCTTGGAACCTAGGAGATAGGACTGGAACTTATCTAAGGCAAGGACCACATGTGACAACCCCGACCCATAATTAATGCTAATTCTTGATTAAGCATGTTAAGTAAATGATTAAGACGAAATTCTAAATTAATTACATGAGTGTGTTACTTTAAATGCATTTTTATCTGTTTGATGTAGAAAGACCTGTTCATGTTTTAGTTTCGATTTGTGAATTGAAGGTCTTATCGGCATCCGATTCAGAAATTGACTTGATTTATATGTTTGTAGAATTTTATGGTAAGTTTGTTTAAAATTCGATTCGGAACGAATAAATTAGAATAATTAGTGCCAATGTAATTAACACAAGTCAATTTAATTAGGTCACCCTAATTAAGCTTATATAAGGCTACTTTGACTCCTTTACTTGGCTTTACACTCTCATTTCCTACTCTTTGATGCTAAAAAATGTGAGAAAGGGAGAGAGTTGGGAGATTTAGTCTTAGGCATGAGAATTGAATTCAATTGAAAGGAATTGCTAGAATAGAAGAAGGGACCTCAGAGATTGATCATCTAGCTCAAGAATTTGGCATCTAGGACCCAATTGAACATCTAAGGTAAGAAGTCAAATCTCCAGTCTTGAAATTAAGTTGATTCATCTATGAATCCAAGTGAATTGAGCAATGAGATGTAAGAATTAAGCTGCTTAAGAAGTAGGAAGGAAGATCAATCCGTGCATGCATGTTTATTCATTACATTTGGAGCATGTTTGCTAAGAATCCTCTCATGCATGTCATAGATTGAGCTTAATTGTAGACAATCATCATGTTTTCTATCAATTTTCCAAGTTTGATCATGTTTTGAAGTGGTGGAGTTCAAGAAAATTCATGCATGCTATATTCTTGAAACATTCATAAAGTTAAAGTTGAATTTGTGTACAATTGGCATGCTTTTGGGCTTTGATTTTATGAAATGATCTTTAAATCATGATGTGTTATGAATTTCCAAAATGTTTTCCAAAATTTTGGCCCAAAAGGATGAGTTTTGGAGTGTTGAATTCATATTTTGAACTTTGGGAGCAAATCTGAAAAACCCAGAATTTTACTTCCACGCTCGAGCGAAGGATTCCACGCTCGAGCGACCACATTTATTTTCACACTTCTGCTCGAGCGACGAAAGGTTGGCTCGAGCGTAAATTGC